ATATATAGTCCGTTGTAGATATACATTTCGACTGTGGTAATGAAGATCAAGAAGAAGGATCTCCGCAAGCGTGAGGCGCAGTTGCCCATCAACTACCCGAATCCCGAAGTGGAGGAACTCCATACACTCAACGACGCCTTCTTTAACGCAGAGAACACACGCGTGGAAGAACTCTGCAAACGACTCGCACACAATGAAGTGGCCGTGCGGGATGCGGTGTTGGCGGAACTGCCGCGATACATCCGAGACGTCACCCGCCGCATTGCAGTCGCGGAGGAAGAGGCAGACATGACCGCACTGCAGCGACTGGTGGCCATGCGAGGAAATAGTAGAAACCAAAAGGGAAAGGAAAAGAATAAGAAAGATAATAATAAAAAGAATAAGAAGAATAATAAGAAAGATAAGGATAATAAGGAAGTGGAAGAGAAAGAAAAGAATGGAAAGGAGGTGGAAGAGGAGTTGGGGAGAATTAACGTTCTACGTGAAGTGACCCTTTACCGCAGTCGAGAGGAGAATGTACGGCGTGAAGAGAGACGTCAAGAGGCTCTCCAACGTTTAAAAGAAGAACAGGAAGCACAAGAAAGAGAACAACAAACACCACTGCCGTATTCCAATCTCAATGGAATTCATCATGAGGAAGAAGAGGAAGAAGAAGAAGAAGAAGAAGAAGAACAAGAAAGAACAACAATGTATACACCTCCACCGCAGACAGGCCAACAAAAGAGTCTACGGCAGATGCACCGCGAGTGGATCACAGTGTGGGCAGACACAGAGTTACTGCTGCTGAAACTCACACGTGGTGTCTTTTTCTGTATGTGGCACTCCGACAAGCCGTTGGTGCAGTTGGAATGTGCACAGCGGATTGCCCGGCTTATTCACGCACCTCGTACGAACAGTGGAAAGATACTTTTCTTCAGTTGTTTAATGCGAGTGTTGGCAAGAGAGTGGCGGGCCATGGATCGTTATCGCGCCGATAAGTTCCTCGCTCTGGTGCGTAAAATGGT